CGTACCCTTTTGTGGAAGGGCCACATCAGTTGGCAAAAGGTTGTTGCATTCAGTTCAGAGAAAATACACTGTCTGAGGTGGCAAAAGCAAGTGGGAGAGGTGAAGATCACATTCCCTGGTATCAGATAATCAGACACACAATGAGATAAAACTAAACCCAAGCTTTTAAATTTTTTAGCAAAAATGCCATCCATGCAGTGCTAGCACTCAAATATTGTTAAACAGGCTTTGTACCCATGGACTTGGTTCCTTACCTTGTAATAACACTCATGGTAGATGGGTTTGTCATCTCAGACACCATGTTTAGAACAAGACTGCAGTTAGTACCCTTGTCTGCATAGGTGGGACCTGAGTCCTGACAGTTGGGTAGGATCCCTCCTGATGATTTATAAATAAGCTCTAGAGTCATCTTGCCCTCACCCCCTTTGCAGAGGTCTGCCAAGGTAGGCAGAAAGGAAGGGTTCTGTTTCTTCCTGGCATTCTTACAGTTTTTATTCCTCTAAAAGTGCTTTGAATTTGGGGAATGATATTTCAGGGAGCACAGCTCCATAAGGGAAATGAAAAATCCCAATCGTTCTTCAAGTCCATTATGAATATCTGGAACAATGTATGCATTAGGTAATGGAATATATTTGGCAGTCTCAGAAAAACATTTTTTTTCTTGCTCTAAGGTGAAACCCCTGTATTTTTAACCATTTCTACTTCCCTATGCTAGTGTCTGGGATTATGTTATCTTTTCACTTTGGTGCACATCTGCCAGATTTCAGTTCATCAGTGATGAGTTGCAAGCTACTGTGAAACCCTCCATGTACTTTTAACAAGATGATAAATGAATACCTATCAATAGGCTAGGCAGAGCTGTAGCTGAAAATGTTGCATTTCTAAAATACAGAACATTGTGTTCACAGGGCATTTGCTAGTGTCAGCCTATACTGGCTGCTTCTTTCAGAGGCCCAAGAGTCTTTGGAAAATTTTGTTGCCCTTTAATAGCCAATGGCACACAGATGTACCACTTAATTCCCATAAATTGCAGGAGCATCTCAGCATGAAGGGTCATGTAAAATAAGTAGATGTTACAAATCTAGCATTTGAAATGTTGTATGGTGATCACATGTGATAAAACTTTCTAAGGGTTATGTTGGACATCTTGGTCATTATCACTGTCACTACAAAACCAAAAACCTTCACACACCATAAATCCACCATGTGTAAAATAAAAATAATTTTGATTCTTGGAGCAGTAGTGGTCTAAAATAGTTTGACCTAAAGCACATTTCTTTTCTTTAACTCCACTAAATCTTTGATATATGGGCTTTCTAAAGCCTTCAAATTAAACACTTCATCTTCTGTCATCTGATAACAGTATATGAAATGAACTGAAGCAGAGGTGCAGAACAGGCTAGTCTGCAACTGAGCTATGCAAACTTGTTTTTTATTAAAGTACATGACTATTTCAGTTCATCTAAAGAAAATTTGAAAGTATGTAAAACAGCTTTACTATCGGACTACCCGCAATGCTGCTGTCTAACAATTCAGGTGGTATCAGTCATTATTTTAAATCCTAGGGAAACATCTAGAGAATGTAAAAGAGATTAAACCTAAAGAAATTTTTCCTATAAACTAAAGCTTAGAAAAGGAATATCTTTCTGACATTTTTAATGCGGTTTTATAATTCCAAAGAATTATAGCAGAGCTTTAAAAATTCTACACATTACTTTTTCTTTCAATTTTGTGAGATTCTGATACTTGGAGGATTGTAACGGTTGAATGAGAAACCACACCATCTTTTAAAGTGGATTTTTTTGTGTTGCAAGGGGAAGGAAAACATGAAAGGTTATGCAAGCAGGCTGAGGGAATGAGAAAGGGCTTCAGCCTTGGGCTTTTTATTCTTCATGTGCATTTGTACAATATTGATGCAGTAGAAATATACTCTCCATGCAAATTTTAGATTATTTTTAAGTGTCTAATAGAGCTTTGCTATGTATAAGCAGTAATATTTTTTAAATTGAAAGTTTACCAGGTATTTTATTATGCATGCACCCTCTCCATGTCCTTGACAAGGTTATAAATGGCACTTTAATTATGACTTTAGCATGCCAGTGCCACACCACTACAACTACCTCTTGTTTGTATAGAAAATTTCATCATGTCCTGCTGCAAAATCACTCCTGTATTTCCAGTGATGAGCTTGATTTTTCCCACCCAGATGTATTTCAGCCTCAGCTTCATCAGACCTTGCACAACATTTGACACTGAGCTGCAGCAATAAGCCCAGTGCCCAGGGCCTTACCAGCAGTAGGATTTCAGCTACTGGTCTCCGCACAGCAAAGAAAACCCCTAGCGCAGGAGCAAAATTTCTTTTCCCACCTCATACATCTACATTAGTGTTTAAGATTGTTACTGCAGTCGGAGGGTAGTGGGTCTTTGATTCATCTGAACCACTGTTGGTACCCCTTTTCCATGGGAGTGAATGATATTTTGGGAGTGGCTGCTGCTGTGGGAGGATCCCAAGGGCCTCCTGATAGCACTGGCTCCATGATGGTGTCTGCACCAAGTGAGCCTGTAACCAGCTGAGATGCTTCCCACCATCTTTCCTGCTTCTTTGCCAAAAGCTGCAGGTTTTATAAATTGCTTTACCTACTGCACTGAAGAGACTTGTAGTTGTGAGTGAAGATTAGACTGCTCTCAGGCCAGCCTAGGCAAGCCAGCATTAAACGTCTTCTGGTCGGCAGGTGCCACCAGCCTGATTAGCAAACAAACGGAGTTTCTTCCATGCTGACCCCATACCCCTGGGCTATTCATTGAAGTCCTGAAAGCTTTCTCTCCCACACAGCAAGCAGGGAAGCTCCAGGAGGGGCCAGCTTCAGTTTTCACAGCCCACAGCAAGATCTCCCGGTGCTTGTGGGTGGGGGTGACCACCACATGGGTGCAGCACCTGCCACCTCGCTGGGGCTTGCTTACACCTCACATCTCTTCAGGACAGAGACACAGAAAGCTGAGCCTGAAGAGGATAAACCACAGCATTTGCTCCTCATGTGCTCTCCTGGCTTGCTGCTTGTGGTGCTGAATTGCTTTCACCTGAAACACTGCTGATGTAACGGAGGGCCAGGGGCTGCTTAGCAGCACGTGCTGGCCCCAGACTAGGCTGGGGCTTATGGCTCCAGCAGACGTTCCTGCTATTCAAGGTAGCGGGAACTTTCTTGGTAATTTTCTTGCCATCCTCTTGCCGTCGTACAAATCCCAGTTGAGCTGATGTCTGGAAACAGTGCATTAGGTTATGGCTATGACCACAGCATGCAGTCATCCAGTCTTAGACCAATGACTGGTTCCCAAAAACCAGAGTGTAGGAGGACCAAAGCCTCACAAGGCATTTATTATTACATTCACAAACTAGTTTGACTAGTTTTTTAATGGTAGCTCAGTACTAAAACAATTGTTTTGGGGCAATTTTACTGTAACTGTCCGTAACTGACTGGACTTTCTAACCATGTGCATGGCCTCCCTCCTGCAAGTAGGAGGCCAGGCTGTGGCATTAATACTTAAATTTTCTGCATATAAGGTTCATGTTTATTTTTCTGTGCATCTTCTCTTGGCATATACTCTTGCTTTCTTGGTCTCTGGGTGACTACTTCCACTATATTTAGCAAGAACTTTCTGTGAAAAAAAAAAATAAATCAGCAACTTATTGAATTATAGCAAGCTAGTTTCCTACAAACGCTGTATCTTGATAAAGAAGATAATGTGATAAAAACTTCAGCCATGAAATTCAGTACAGGAACAGAAACATTGCTGTCAAGAAGCGGAAAATGTGCTCGTGTAACATTTATCTGCAAACGGTTACAGCTGCTGTTGATGTTAACCACTCTGAACGGTTCGCAAAAGTGCTAAATAAAGAGCTATTCTCACTATCAGCTGTCCAAAAAAAAAAAGATAATTTCCTGATGCACTGGCCTGAGTGCTGGTATAAGGGGTATTAAGGGGTTACTCCGGATTTACACCATCATTGCCAAGAATACAGTTATAGCTCGGTCTAGTTAATTGTCCTGACAAGGATGCAGAACTGGCCTGGTTAAGTAATTAGACCTGTAAGGGAAAAGGGGGTTGTGTGTGGAAGGAGCTAATGCATTCAGTTATAATGAGCCAGTGTTGCAGCAGAGCTATCTTTTGTGGAGAACAGCTCTGCCTGTGAACAATGGTTTATTCTAACTGAAAGAGGAACTTGTGCCTTGCAATATTTCAAAATTATTTGGAACGTTCATTTTAAAGGGTGTGTTTTCTTTAAGCAATGCCAAATACAGTAAAACATTTTTAGAGCTTGTTTTTCAGCTAGTGAACCTACAGTGTTCACAATTGTAATCACTAGAGCCTGTGCTAAGAGAGGAGATTAATTTTGTCACTTCCATTTCATGTATGAGATAACAGAAGGACCTGGAGCACAAATTTGATTTGAAATCATGACATTGCTCGCCTGTAGGACCCATGCCTGAGACACGCACTACCGAGTGCATGCACTCAGACAGCAGCACTAACAAGTGTTCCTGGAGAAGTAGTCCAAATTTAGCTAAAATAAGATGGATCAGAATAGGCGCAATGTCTTTTGATCAAATATTTAGGTGAAAGGATTGTGCTGTTCAGCTTTTCCAGCTTTGACTTTCTGGAAGGAGCCACTGGCCTTTGACAACCAGTGCCAGTATAATGATCAGTTAATAAGTGCAGGACTTGCCTGCTGTTGCCCAAGATGGCAGGTTTACTGCTGCAAAGCTCCCAAGGAGACATCCTTTGCTAGTTTGTGTCAGATACAAACCCAATGTGCACAGAGTAAAAGATAGCCCAGACCATATACCAAGCAAAAAGCCAATCCCTTAGCCCTCCCGGAAACATTTGGCAGCTGAGTCTTCATAATGCCTGTTCCAGCCAAACTTACTGAAACTGGTCGTTGGTGCAGGGAGCTCCCGATTTAGTAGATTACAGAAGGTTTTATAAACTTAATTAGAGAGTGCACTAATTGAATGGCTTTTAAATGACTTGTGACATTAATTTACAGTGTTTTGCTTATTTTTGCTTATGCAGCCCGCCAATTTTCCCTACCAGGAAGAGATTATGTCTGTGAACCCTACATGTCTAGTTGTGATTATCCTCCTTTTCATCAGTATCATTTTGGCTTTTAAGGTAAGTGCATTACTGTGTATAAAGTCTACTTCTGGTCATGGGTGGAATGTCCCTTGCTGGGAGGCCTGGCTTTAGAAGAGATTTGGGAACCACAGACCAGGCAGCCCAACAGCTATACAAACCAAAGTGATAGACATCGTGGAAAAAGAGACAAATACAAGAACATATAGGCCACAATGGGGAAGCATGGTGCTTGTAGGGGGAGCTCATGACACACAAATCCTTTGAAGGAGTGAGTCATCCAGTGGAATAGGGAGAGTCTGGTGATACAGTCTTTTTGGTTTTTCAAAAGGTGTTTGGCAGAGTCTCTCATCAAAGGCTTTAAAAAACACCCTAAGATGCATAGGGACAAGAGAAAAGGTCATCTCACAGACTGTAGCTAGGAAATAAAGAATAAGGATAAATTATCAGTCTTTACAACAGCAAGACCCATGCTGTTCAGTACATTCATAAAAGATCTGGGAAGGAGAAGGAAATCTAACAACAACATTTTTTTGCAATGTCATTCAAAATAGGGAAAACAATCAGCCAAGAAAGCTTTGCAGAAGGATCTCATGACACTGAGGGACTGATTAATGAAATGGCAGAGAGGCTCAGTGGTGATGAATTCTAAGTGGTGGGCACAGAGGAAGCACAATCTTGTTTGGCAGACACTGCAGCAGATTCTGAACTAAGCATGACCACCTGAAAAAGCGAGCTTGTAGCTATAATAGATAGACCTGTGAAAATATATAGCTTACTGCTCAGTTCTGGTGAAATAAGTAAATCAAATGCTAAGAAATAGAACAACCAGAAATCTAAAGATTTCTTTGCCAGTTTTGATATCTACCACCTCTAGAAGCATGCCTTCACTTCTGGTGCCCTACCTGAAAAAGGATGTTGTACAGCAGGTAAATAGATCCAAATTCCTCCTGGGAGGGGCATTGTAAAGGACTGTCACACCAGGCAGTAAAACGGCACAGGGAGTGATAATTCATTTGCTGTTATGCAAACTTTGTATGTGAGAGGGGTGGAGGTGGCAGATACCAAACGAAGGGGAGATGTAGCATTGCCTTGCACAGCTGGAAGAGGCTGATGTGAAACCACTGCACCCAGATTCATGGTCTAGCGAGGTTGACCCCCACCTGCTGTGCGGGGCAGAAGTCCAAAAGGAGCTCAGAATAAGATCAGACCAAATGATGTATGAAAAACAACCACCTGTGACTCAACTTGTCCCCTGAGCCTTGGACCTCTTGGAAAGTATGTTGGTGTATTTGCCCTCTTCATGCACCCTTCTGTAAATTTCTCACAGCACCGAGCTGCTGTTCTTGTATTTCTCATGTTGGGTTTTAGTTCAGAATAGTTCTTGATCTTTCTTTGCAGAGCAATTATGCATTAGGTTAGAGAAATCCCAAAAAGCCACAGTGACACCAGGGATGTTGCTTCCAGACAACACATTTGACAACATGGACAGGGAAAGTTATTGTGGCAAAAGAGGTAGATTAGAAGCTACTTCAAAATTGGAAAAAAAAAAACAAACAGATAAGGTATTTTAAGGTGCTGTTGGAAGTGATATTCACTTCTATTCTGTGATTTAGAAATACAGTTTAGCCTTCTGGCTTTCTATGTTCAGAACCATACAGCTGATTTTGTTTGCACCTTTAAGAAATATGTATGAATGTAATAAATATGTAAATCTGTCAGGTACCACATGGGATGTGCTCTTTAAGTTTCTCAGATGCAAGCATTAGCTCATTCTTGCCCTAGGTGGGTCTGGTATTTCATTGATTAAGAGTGGCAAGGAAGTCTCAAGCTTATAAAAAAATGCAACTAAAATTGGAATGGCAAAAATACTTACTACAGAAAAAACAGACCTAAGAAATTAATAGTGCAAAAGACTCATTTTGTTTTAAAGTGGCCAAGACATGTTTTTTCCAATAATATGTGTGGCTTATAATGCTCATTCTAGCAACATATTGTCGTGCAAATGAGTCACAAAAAATATGACTCACACAGAAGCACATGCTAAATTCCTGTTAGCATTTTCACTTGAATTTCTTGTGTTTCCAGAAGAGCTGCTGTGCAGATTTATGGAATCTGCTCCATAAAAAGAAAGCTGGACACTATCAGATGCATCACACTTTATCACTGATAGACTTAACAGATGGTACCACATTTATATACTGAAACTGAAAAGGTACTGTGCATAAAAATATGCCTGAGCTCCCTCTCCCTCTCTTGACTAGAAATGGGGAGAGAAATGAAAACATTGTAACCTAGGAAAAGCTACAGTAGGAAAAGCTGCATTCAGCTGGTGGGAAATATGAAACAGAATCACATAATTCCTCAGAAATATTTGGCATCGTGACATACTTGTTTTGGGTGAAGCTACATGCAAAGGAAAACACTACTGAGTAGAAATCAAGATATAGCAGTATTAGATGGTGGTTTTGTGCTTTGCAGTCATGGGACTGTGAAAAAAAAAGAGGGACAAGAGAGGGCAGTAAGAAAGCACGGCAGCTAACCACACACAAGCACTTGTGTTTTTAGTCCTTAGGATTTACTTGGATCCAAAGCAGCTAATGGATATTTCAGGTGGTTTCATGCAGAATCTTTTTCAGAGTAGACCAAAATGTGTTATTCCATTTACTGTGTTTGTATAGAAACTGAACCAGAGTTACATACCATGAAACATAGGTGTTTCCTATCTGGGTGAGGAAGGACATCCAGCAGCACAAGTGTATTTATACACATGTACGCAGGACTTCAAATGGTATATAGCCAACACAGTGGCTTTCGAATCACGCCCTCATCTGCAGCTGGTTTGGGGAACAGGGCCTCAGTTTCCTCTGGCCAGCCCCAGCTGCTCAGACAGAACGGTTGAGGCTTCGACTTCCCCCTCCCCACCGTGGGCAAAGTCCCCCAGGCCCAAATGAGCTAGGCTCAGATAAGCACAAATACAACCAGAATAAACCTGTCCCCCAGGCTGCCCTGCAGCTGCAGACCAGGGCCTCCTCTTCTCTTGTTGCCTTTCTTTTTCTGGAAAGGAGGTAGGAAGAGGTAGTTGCCAGTGGGGCAGCTGAAATGTATTCCAGTTCAGTGAGACAGGCTGGTCTTCAGCAAACTATTAACCGTGGTCTCCATATTATGCCTGTAACCTGTGTGTACAAGGTGTCAAGCCTGGAGATGAGACCGCTCTGAATGTCCTGGTGTCCTCAACAGATAGGAAGGGGTGATGCAGAATGAAGTTCTGTGCTCACCCTGAGAGATTTCGTGTCTCAGCCCAGGGGGATGCCTCCTGCCAGGGGGAACCCTGATCTGCAGCACATTGCACCTGTAGCTACTACCTTCCCACAGGGGTGATGGAGCAGCAGTCGGGACCATGAACACAGCCTCAACAGCCAAGCTCTGATCCCCTCTCCCAGGAATGGCCAACACAGAGCCACAAGGTTGCCACCTGTTCCACGAAAGCACTGGGCTTGCCACTGGTACTGGCAGCATACTTAGACGAGAAGCGTCTTTAAAGCAGGGGACATTTGCTTATTTGCTTTAAATTGCATACTCCAGTATGTGCAACTGTGAGCCAACAGATGATGTCCTGGCCTGTATAAGGTGCCATGTAAAGTGTTGCAGGCCAGTGGTTTGGTTTGACATCATTAATTCTTTTCAATCACAGCATTTCTTTGCAGTTATAAGGAGCGTTTTTATACTCACAAGATACACATTCTTCTGTGCTGAGAAGATGAATTTAATTGTGGATTTCATCAGCACAGCAACGCATTGTTTATCCTTTTGCAGCACCAACATGTGAAATACATGTGGCCAATTGCTCTGCCACTAGCATCCCTCTGAAATCTTCATATATATTTCAGTTTGTGTAGAAAACTTTATCTCATTTTCACCAGTTACTGAAGACCAGCTTATCTCTGTATATAGAAAACTCAAAGCAGCTGGAGAACAAAACAGGACTTAGTGCAGGCAGTTCCTAACCTGAGGGAGATCTGTCAGGTCTGTAGCATTCACCCTGCGCTTGCTGCCAGCGAGGGAGCTGCCCAGAGGGCTTCTGTGACCCAGATCAGCACAGACTTTTCCTTGCTGTGTTACGACAGCAGTATACAGCAGCCTCTAATTCCCACAAAGATGCTGGTCAGTCAGCTGGTTGGGCATGTGACTGATGAGCAGAAGTTGTGTAGCAGATTACTGTCGTTATGCTGCTTAACAAGTGTATGTGCAATAACAACGGCGAGAGGCAGGGTTATGAAGTTTTGTGGGTTTCAGTTCCTTAAGGGCTCGAGTTATTTCCCACCATTCAAAGGGGAAGACTGAAAGCTGGTAGAAGTAGGCACAGCGCCTGTTTCCACATTCAGCCCTTCTTGTGCACCTGTCCCTTCACGTGGTGGCTACTTGGGGCTGCCCCTCAAAAGGTGTCTGTTGGTGGCCTGTGCTATGGTATGCGGGAATACCACTAAGGGTGGATTAGGCTGAAGTGACTTAATGCCTTTTATGTTGGGCCTATCCGAAATGTGAACACTGGTCTCCTGAGAGAAATATAGATATATTTATATACTATGTGTCCAGCCACACATTTTAAAGCAGTATATAAAACGTCAGCCAAGTTTTTCAGGAAAAAAATCGGTAACTGATTCAGCAATCCCATTTAACATTGCAGCAGCATCAGTAGAAAACAATGATTAGGAACAGATTTAAAGAAGTTACAGGTTGAGGAAAACGAGTTTCCATGACTCACGATTTGCAGGCCAGCAGCACATGTCCAAAGCACTTGGACAAGGACATGCTCTGAGCTGCCCCCACTCTCAGCTGTATATGGGTCAGTGTCTCGGGGCCAATTATTTGGTGTGTGCTGGCTGATGACCTCTTTAATTCAAGGGCTGGAACGGACCTCACCCATGGAAAAACAGCCCGTGCATGCAGGATCAGAGCTGATTAGAGCTAGGGCTCAGAGCTCGGAGAGCTGTAGGGGTTCATTGTGGGGTTAAATGTGTTTTATTCACCATATGTAATGAAATGGGAGCATTAAAAAATAAATCCCCCACTAGCTTCTCCCAGATAAGACTGTATTAGCTGTAACAGGGCTTCCCTCAGTTTTGATTATGACAGAAGGCATACAGAAATTGGTTTGCAAACAGGTAGGATTAATGTAAAGGAATTCTTACAAAGATGGGTCATGTCCCCACAGAAGTGTACTATGTTCAATCCCTATTCTGTACTAGCTCTTATGCCTTTCTCAGCGCATAGTATCTGAGCATTGAAAGCTACTGAACTACTTATTACTATTCATATTTAACAATGGCATTTTATTTAATTCTGGAAAAGATGCAGTTCTGCATGTATGTGCCTTTACTCCACTTGTTTCAGTAGCCTGGGGCAAGTTTGCATAGTTCACAGCTCAGGCTGTAAAGCCAGTCTAACCTTACCTTGGGACTCCTTTTGCTCTCCCCATTTGATGGTCAAAAGTATTGTCAAAGTCTGCAACACCTCCAAGCCATTCAGGGTCTGTCAGATGCGGTAAAGAAGAGGAAGCAAACTTACTGGATTTCAGCCAGCTTGGCCCTGGTGGAAAAAACTTCCTGATCTGCAAGCGAGCCATCAGTGAGTCATGTGGCATCCTGAAAAACACCGATCGTGTGACAGCTCTGGAGAGGGAGGAAGCACGGGGCAGCTCAAAAGGATAAGAGGCTTTTGGAAGGTCATCAGTGCAAGTGAGTCACAAAAATATGACTCACTCAGAGTGAGACACACATGCAAATCCAATCAGTGCTGGCAGTTTAATTTGCACGCAGTAGGTTTGTGAAAGAATTGCTATGCAGAACCTACTAAGTAAAAATACAAGTTGTGCACTATCAAAACACATTGTTCTTCTCATGACTGCCATGTGTGACTATGTGGGAAGCAGAAAACTCCAGAGGCAACTGCTTAGTCCCACCAGCCTTGTCCCTGGCATGCTGAGGGTCTGACTCCTGCTCCTCCACATGTGTTACTGCCTCCTGTCTTCCTTCTAGCCACTTTGCTCATCTCTGCTGGCCAAACTGGAATCTCTCCTGCTGGTGAAGGAGATGATGGATGTGAGCATTTTGCACAACCAGTTCAAAAAAAAGTGGAGACAACTAGTTGTTTGACAGGCAGCACTCCTACCCAAAGCCAAATGAGCTCCAAGAACAAAACCAATGAAGTTTATGGTCCTGCAGTAGGCTTATTGCTGCAATAACAGGTTTTTTCGTTTACAATTAAAAAAAAAATGGAAGTATTTCTAATAATAGTTAAAAGGTCAGAAATAATTTCAGATTTTAATAAAAACTTTAACACTGGCAATTTTCTCTAATCAGGTAAGAATAGGAAGATCCCAGACCATTCCAGTCATATGGAATACATTGGTTTAGTGTCAGATTAAGTGAAATGGAGTATTGAAGCAATGCAGGTGATATAAGGGATCATGACATAGTCATTGGCCAGGCTTCCACTCACAAGACTAGGAGAGTTTCCTGTAATTTGCTTGATGATTCTTCAGTGCCCAATGTGCTTGTGTGCTTCTTACTGGGATTTGCTTCCACTTTCTAATACTACTAACCCCCAGCTGACAATATTTAAACATCCTTACCATGGAGGAATCCAAAACTGGTTTCTGCTTATTTTTTGCTGCTGTCCCTGAGACATTCTGCATCTGCAGCACCTTCTCTTTTTTGTCACAGTGTAAGTTGTACCATCATTTCATGTCGTCAAACTCACCCCTGCTGGTACGCAGTATCCCATGCACAGTAACAAGGTGTCTGACTGAACTCTCACCTCTCTGTATTTCTAGAGAGGTGTAGGAAACCCAGCCAGCATATGTGACCTGCTTATTTAAGTAAAATGGAGGTTATATACACAAAATGATATTACTTTGATTATATTCAGGCCCAGAGAAACTGATTCTTTTCAAAACAATTAGTCTACATTAAGTATGCTGTAATATTAAATATCTGGAATAGCAAACTTCATTCAGATAGGTCTAGATTGCAGTAACTGCCTAGATGAAGCGGCTCATAGTGCAGCACAAGTACCCATAATCACAAAACCATATAATTATAGAATGGTTTGGATTGGAGGAGACATTTAAAGGTCATCTAGTCCAACACCCTGCTGTGGGCAGGAACATCTTCCACTGGATCAAATTGCTCAAAGCCCCATCCACCCTGGCCTTGAACACTTCTGGGGATGAGGCATCCACAATTTCTCTGGGCAACATATTCCTGTGTCTCACCATCCTCATCGTAAAAAGTTTCTTCCTTGTGTCCATTCTAACTCTATCCTCTTTCAGTTTAAAAGCGCTGCCCCTTGGCCCGTCACTACAGGCCTTGGTAAAAAGTCTCTTTCCATCATTCTTATAAGCCCCCTTTATATGTGGAAAGGCCTCCCCAGAACCTTTCTCTCTCAAGACTGAACAACCCCAGCTCTCAGTATGAGGAATGGAGTTGGATTACTCATAGAACCCCTACACACACTTATGGTCACTGCGACCAGCAAAGTGACTGTCCCATGCTTCTATCAGGCTCATATTCTTATTTATACAAGAACAGAAATGCTCTAATAGAAAAATGTATATGGTTTATTTTCTGCACAGAATAATAAATCCCTTTTCTTTGCAGGGTTACTTGATAAGCTGCGTGTGGAATTGTTACCGATACATCAATGGCAGAAACAACTCAGATGTGTTGGTGTACATTACCACCAATGACACTGCGGTAAGGATGTCAGATTGCGTTTGTCTGATACTATGCATTTAATAACTTTATATTAATTTCTGACTCCTTAGTTAACCATCTTAATTCCTTAGAGAGTCCTCATCTGTTGGTTACATTTAGACTTGAGATTCAACAGACTGGTGTCCTATGGTTACAAATCACATCTATTGCTAAAGTACTGGTTTTATTATATTAACATAATCTGTTAAAGGGTCTGTGTTAAGCATAAACTACAGCTTACCTCGTGGCCCCAGGAATGACCCCCAGTTCTGAGCTCTCCAGCTGTGTGATGATCTGGACAGCGGAGGGACTGATCAAGACCCAGGGATGCCATGGTCTACACCTGCTGTGAAATGTGGATTGAGCTGCAGAAACTGTGATTTAGGACACTCAACATCTGGTGTAGTGCTTTACATATTCACAGAGAGGAGCTAAAAGCCAACAAAAGTTCAGTGATTCATCTCCCAGTGCATGATAGGCTTGGTGTAGTAAGGAGACAGAATGAAACAAAGATCAACATGAAAGGACCGAATAAACAGATTTCAACCTCAAAGAACGGAAGGTGTCAGTTCACTTTATAGCAGTTTAGTGCTGACATGCATACGTGCCAGGCATGACTGGTAAGCAATGTCTTGCTTGTTGTAGAAGGCACTGATGAAATACAAGAAGAAAGAGTCCCTGGGAAGAGACAGTTCTTCCTGCAACAGTATCTCCATGGAGCTGCTTGGTTCCACCCAAGCTACACACTGAGGGCACTGTGCCAAATCAGGCCCTGGGGTGACTCCACTGGCTTATGTAAGGAGGGTCTTTACATCATTTACATAACAGAATGAGAGTAGCATGAACTTGGTCCTTTGGATCATCTGGCTAGAATTTCAGAATTTCATAATCGTGGGTGGTCTCCACACCCTGAGATATTAGACCATCAACTTTAAAGCATTGGAATGAGCGATTCCTGTGCAGCCACAAGGGCTTAGAAAAATATTACTACTTTTACATGAAAGCTGTAACTCTTGCATAGTTATTTGTCTGCAATACCTGCAGCTTTAATAAAAGCATAAGAAGCTTTAAGAGCTATGATCAGAGCTGGCAACCAGAACATTTAAGTGTAAAAGTATGGGTTTATTGAAAGCTAAGAAGTGTTACTACTTTCTTTACTGGAATCTACTTTGAGTAAAACCAGGAGTTTTATGTGAAATAATTTTTATAGCTCTTTTGTTCAGCTCATTGTAACTCAGCTTCAAACATTGCTAACTCTACAACCCACAGAACTTGCAGGCTCAGTGGTGGGAGAGTGTTAGCTGCATTATGTGTGAAACTAAGCTTACTTTTAAAAGCTACATTAAAACGACCTGACCCACTGCTGCCTTTACAAAGCAAAATATTTCGGTTTTCAGATATGCCTGGTTACCAAAACTTCTCTAGGTACTTTTGGTTTTAGTAATTACCAAAGTTCTCTGAGCTGCCTCCTCATCTTTAAAGCACCTGTGTTTCTGTGAGGAAAGGAAACCCTTTTATCCCTTTTACAGATGACATATTCTTACACTGAAAGTTTAATATAGCTTTGCTTATCTTGATCTTACAAGACAGCTACAGCAGAGGCAGGTTTTGAGAAAGGCTGTGCATTCTTAGCTGGTGCCCTGGCCATTGGACTCTTCCCTCGATATTTACAACTCCTTAATTTGAATATGGTCAGAATCTTTTGCTTTCGGGTATGATGCATTTGTTGTTCATTCTTTCTAAGTAAATTCGATGAGATGACATTAGATCTGGTCCTATAGAAAGAGCTGTTTGGGAATTTACCAGCCAACCAAAATTTCACCCAAAAGTTCTTGTTCAGGAGTACAGAAAGCCTCAGAAGCAACGCTGCTGGGGAAGAGTTTCTCAGGCCCAGACAGAGAGACAAGAGGAGAGAGAGCCACTAACAACCTGGGTTTTGAATTATTTATTTGGGATGCAGGCAAGCTTCATTCAAACCTATGTCTGACTGCTACTCTCCAGTCAGGATGAGTACCTTCATCCCTAGGTGACACAGTCAGTCTCTATCTCTTGCACAGTCTTGCCTGACAAGCTCTGTGGACACCCACCAGCACAGTGCACTCAGCAATGTTATGGAGGAGCTGACATGCTCCTCAGCAGGCTCTTTCTTTCTTCTGCTCATTGCTGAGCTTCAGCAAGGAACAACAGTTTGTAGGGTTAAATCCTCATCATTCTCCTCTGTGAATCAGAAGATTGTTCCGCACTACCTTCACACCCCCCCCAAAATCACAGACTCAAAAAAATATTTTTCTATGTCTACACTGAGAGGCATCAGCAAAATCTCTTCACATGATTGTGAAAAAGCAAGCTCAACACAATAGGATAAAACAGGTTTCAAAATGAAGTGTGGAAGAATAGGGCTTTGAAAGTTGAGTGCTAAGGACCTTTGACAGTTTAGGATTCTTGAAGAAAACTCATGAAAGTTTGAACTGCTGTGATAGGTCACTGCTGTCTGTTGAATTTTATAATATTCCCCCAACACTCAAGTGTACTTTTGTGCTAATCCAATGTTTTTTCATTTTTATTGATGTTGGGAAACTTCTTTCAGCAGGGCTCCTTCATGCCAACATGCCTTTAAATTAGAAACTACAAGTTTCTTTAAAAATGTGGGTCAATCTCTGCCCTCTGCTTTGGAAGAAATGTGTCATTTTTAGAATCAGACCTGCTACCTGAATTCCAACAGAGCTGCAGGTCATATCTGCAGGGCATATTCTCGTCTTCAGGGATGGTTTTTTGATATATACTTGTCATCAGAATTAGCTGAAAGAATACCAATCTGTACAAATGGAAGAGAAAATCTAAGCTTCAATATGGGGCTGGGTTACCAGCTACCATTTAGAGTAACAAGTTTCAAATGTACCGCAACACTTCGAAAATCTGGAGATCAGATTCCAGTTGCTACCTTCTAATATCCCTTGGACTGCATAGTAGTTAATGCATCTCATCTACATTCTACATACAAGATTTTTTTTTTTTAAGTTCTTAGGTTTGCAAGTGCTAGACACAGTATTAAAAAAACGCCCCACATTTAGAATGCAGTTTAGACATGGGCTAGATTATGGGTTAGTTTACTGCCAAAAATTAAAAGATCTGGTTTATGTATTGAGATGATTAGAAATTCATAATCTTTCTGCAGTTACATAAATATTTTCAATGAAGCTCAGAAATTTATTACTGTGTTTTACAAATTTTTGGGAGAGCTGTCTTCGAAAAATATCTTAAAAATGAAATGTATACCTTATTTTTATTATAATTTGCACCCAGGGGAAAAAAGAAATAAACCTGCTTGAAACCTGCTTGAAAGATACATCTAAGAGTTTCAATTTAAATGGAAATATGACATTAATGACTGAGCTTTTCTTGAGAAGAACAATCAAATCCTTACTCGTTGGGATGCCATGGCACAAGAGACAGGAAGGGTCCACAGTTACTTGCTGGCTGTAGCACCTGTGAACCCTTCTGAGATGTTTGGATTACACATCTCTTTCTTAGGAAAGAAGGAAACTAATATAGACCACAATGATTTGGTTCAAAAGAGTAAGAAGCTGTGATTGTATATAATTGTTTCTGCAGTCGAGAAAGTTGTTCTGAAAATAATAAACAGATTATGTTTTGGTTTACTGCATTTCTTAATTTACCACTGGCAAGGTGTGTAAGCACAGTTACCCATCACATCCAGATTTGATTAGGAGAACGGATAACTCCTTAAGCACAGCTGTGCGGGCTACATTCTTGTTCCTTGTTCCTTGGCTCTCCGCATTCAGGAAGTCCTTGGTGGGTCTCACCATTAGTTTCCTCCATTTCTATCTAAAATATGTCCATCATGACTCTGTAAATTCATGTTGAGAGCGTACAGGTCTCAACAGCAGTATTTATCCATCTTCTTGTCTGGTCACATGGTGGAAATCTACTGTTATGTCCTTCCAAGACATGAGCTTTTGTGTTGTCTGTCCTCATACAGGACTGCTCTGTCAACGCCGGTTGCTGGCACTCTCCTTTGTCTGTCGTACTTTGTGTCACGCTCCTTGTGAGGTCCTCTCTACAGACCCCTCTCTGTTACCTGCCCCCAATTCAGTAATACTTTTTTAAAAAAAAATATTCAGCTGTCTCTTTGCCTTCCTACTGTCTAATAAATTCTCAGTATAGAAATCTCCAGTTAGCTCCTCCTGATCAAACTGGTTCTTATAAATAATGCTCATAGATCTGAACTGTAACTAACCTGATAGCTAAGGTTATCGGCTACCAGATAATCTGATTTTTGTCTCTCACTCTAAGTGGTTTAAGCTGTACTTTTTGCAAGCGTGCCATCTGGAAAAAACAGAC